TCTGATCGCTAGCGTCACCACCCCTCGGACTCTTAGTATTGAACCCTCGACCTCCTAGTCTGGAATACGCTCACTTCCGCTTTACTTTAGCTTATTTTGTATGCGGCTAATTTGCATGTCTAACGTTCACGATAAAATTGGTTAACGCAGCATCAAACTGGTTGCGAGTACACCACCTAATTTAAGCTTCGGTGTAAGCAGTTAAGCTCCCTTCTCATAGTTTAATGCTGAATGTATATGTGAACGATATGAACAGGACATGGACGAACGCGTAAAATTGCTCTAGTTAATGCAAACACATCCTTATCCCTTAGGAAATTTCAATGGAATCATATGAGACAGTGAGTAGCGTTTATTGCTCTTTTTACGATGAATTATATAATTTTGCCTTCTGGGGTTTCCCACAATTTCTGTTTGCATATATTACAAATATATCTGTAATAGTCACACGTGGTAAAATTGAACCATAAAGGGAGCAATATTTTGAATATGTGCAATTTTATACAACCATTAAGTTTGTGTTTAAGTTTTCTTATGGGAAATCGACTGCAGATGCTTTATACATTAAATTTCAGAGAAAATGGAAAGTTAGCGTTGTTTCTTCGTCCACGAAATGTTTGTTGTCGTCGTCCATTTTGGAATTGTAGTAAACTTACAAGCTGTGACCTGTCCTCGTAAAATGTTGGAATTTAATCAAACTTTGCTACCCGACTTAGACAATATTGGGACGTGCACTTAAATGTGTCGTGAAAGAAGGCTGCACATTGTAAATCTATCTCGCGGTCGAAGACAAGTGCTTTGGACCCTCATAAAATCCTCTTTACCTCGATATTGGTAGGTCACTCTTAAATCTATTACCTACAAACGACGACAGGGAGCTTTAAACTCTTATCAACTCCATTAAAAGTGGAAGTTGGTCTATACTTATTTTTCCGAGGGATTGATGAATACTTTATTACACTGATCAACTTCCATGACCAACTTATCAATAATTTGTAACAAATATTCAGTAATATTTCAATACCCGTTTAATAATTTCTATTGATAACTTTTCAATAAATAATTCATAAATTCGTGATGATTTGTTAGTTCTTGACTTTCTAGGTCAGTTCCCAATAATGACAAAAAAACACTCACGTCACTTCTGTATTAAAAAAAATTTAATGACATAATTTCATACCACGATTTTGTATTAAAATATTTTTTAATGAATTTTTTTAAATACAAGAGATAATGAGTTTTATTTAATCACTGTCCTTTAAAAATGAAATCTTAATGAAGAATCTTGATTTCATTTTTTGTTTTCGGGTTCTTAATTAAATTTTTTTGAAACACAATGTTCTCATATAATTGATTACGTTTTCAATTAGAAATTTTTATAGGAAAAAACAATGGTTGTTAAAAGTAATTTTTTGATGAACTTGTATTAAATATATAAAAATAGTGAATTCTAAGAAATTTGTAATTAAGAATTTGTTTAATTACAGTTGATGAATATTTAATGAATATTTAATGTGAAGAACATCAATATCTGCAAGAACATCGAGTCGAGGTGCTTTAAGTTTGAAAATAGTTTTAAACACGCAGTTTGGTAGTTTGCTGAAAATAAACGTAGCTCAACATTAAGAAGAGTTTAATTAGAATTTCCAAAGGGACTTTAACTTGGACATCTTCACGGATGACAATAGTGAATTCACTTCCGGTATATATATATATACATTTGAGAAGTAAATTTTCCCAATGGTTGTTCTTAACTTTTCCAGCTATTGGAAAACTTTCAAAAAGTAAGATCGTTAATTTTACCAGCAATGACTAGAAATCTTTTTCTTAATTAATATATATATATATTCTTTCAAAACATAGATACTAAACAATTTTTCTTTAAATAAAATTTCTTTCCCAAGAAAGTAGAAACTATAAAGTCAGAAAATATTTTTAATTCAAAAGTTTTGATTCTTTGCATTCAATTTTTATTCACGTTAAATCTAGGCTTGAGTCGCTGAAACGTTCGATTCCTTGGAATGGGTTTTCGCCGAATTCATCGGATAAAAGTCTGTTGGAGGAAGCGATTTCCCACAGCCCCACCTTTCAAACTAGAGTGAAATCCAGATCTGTGAGATTTTTCGAGTAATTCGAGTTCTCAGCTTGAAGATAGTGCCCTCGTTGCCATATATCGTCCCGCCAGTACGATAAGGTCTTCCACACCTGGCGTCGCAGTGAACGTCGCGTCGGTCGGTCAAATTCGATTTTCCTTCTTCATTCCAATCGGCTATTTGAAATAGCGATCGGCCAGTTCGTGTACGAACCTAATCCAGATAGAGTGGTAAACTAGATACGGCTACGACAGGGTTCGAATAGATGTAGAACCAGGTCAACCAGCCAATCCCATACCTTCAGAAGGCACACCAATCTTCCACTATTCGCTTCTCTCGCTGCAATACCACCTTCCTCTCAAGAGGATCCTTCACAAAAAAGGGAGGAAAAAACACGTAAAATAGAAAGGGACTTCGATGGGGGAAACGACGAATCTGCCGAAATGGAATTTCTTGGTGTCGTTGAATCGAAGCACGTTACACGGATATATTATCGATTCTATACACTGACAGTGCGAATGACGTGAATGCACTTTGAGAAATTAGACCTGCTTCTCGTATATGCACCAAGTGCAAGGTTTTATAAGAACCAAAAGCCTCTGTCTTTACCAGCTTCGCGTGATTTATCAGACATTGATGGGCTTCTCGCTCGATAAACGCCTGCGGTAATTGCATGCTTGATGCTTAAACTTCAACTTTTCCATTTCACTTTCTTCCTTTATCTCGAGAGTTAAATTTAAATTAATCAGCAGCCAATACGTTTGCAAAATGGGAACAAGACATTTATAAACGTTATCATCTAAAATCGACTATTTGAACACTGAAGGGGGGATTACCTTCAGTGATGATAGAGTTAGTGTCATAAAAATCAATCCCTATTGGATCATAAAATATAATTTTTCAACAACGTAAATAATGAAGGAAATGAAAGTTCAGAAAGTAATTCAATACGAAATAAATCATCAATTAATCTTGCTCGGGAATGTTTTTGATCGGAAATGGGAAGTTAATCTGACTTGAGGGTTATACGAGTGGCGGCGATATCAGAAGTAGAGAGAGAGAGAGAGGGAAATTTACTGGCGCGTCGCCACGTTAAATGTCCCTTCTCCCTTGCCTCTCGGTTCATTTCCATAGCGTACTGATCAAGCTGTCTGCATATTAAAGCCACCGATATTGCAGTCACGCAATATTAATATCCGATCGCAACGTGTGTAAACGGGTTAGGCCAGAGCGCCGCTTAATTTGACGTTCATTCGATTAATCCACTACAGTCGTCAGCTCGAATAACAATGGATTCGACAGGCAGACAGGATAAGAGTCGAGGTTACAGATGACGTTTGGTAGAATCAAAGCCTATAATCACACACCAGTTACGTATATCATGGCTCATTTTGATGTGAAATTGACGTCTCTTGAATAAACTTTTTTCCAAGAAGCTCAATTTTCAATTTCATCTTATTAATTTTCCACAAGGCCTTGCGGAATTTTTCATTAAAAGTCAATCACCTAAAACCTTTTTTTATACCAATTAAACGATTCTAGGACAGTGAGGGAAAAAAAATTGTCGATTCTCGTTCGTTCTATTCAGTTTTCTCTAGAGGGTTGCAAACTTAGTTCCATGTAATTAAATAAGAAGAGTTTGAGTCATCCGTTTTCACACAACAACTTTCACAAGATATTTTACAAGTTTAGTGTAATTAATTATTCAGGGCGACAAGAATTAAAAGTATTTTCTTGAATAAAAGTTAATTGGTATAGGATAGAAGGGAGTAGATATATAGTTAGAAGAAGCCCCCCCGCTGAGTATATATAGTCATGCTGGGAAGATATCGCCGATCATGAACGAAATAAGACGCAGATCGGGTCGTACAACTTGAATCGCTTTGGTAACCCTAGTATAGGGGTCTAGTTGCCTAGATGAGTCGACGAAGATATACGTTAACATATAAAAATACAGCGGCAAGACTCGATACATCACATGATCAGATAACGAAAAGAGTTGTCGTTTGTCGCAGAAAAAAGATAGAATCAGTTTATTTTACTCTTTCTCGTCTGCTTTTGATGACTCAACTGTTGGAAGACGTTTTTTCGGTTCACAAAGGCTATACTTTCATCGGAATGACAAGGTTTACACAGAAAGAGTACTGAGCCGTAAAGAATTGTCAGGCTACAAAAAAACACCAACTCTGCGATAACTTGGGTCGATTTTTATTAACATACAATACCGCTGGACAAGTTTCTGGAACAGATACTTTAGATGAACGTTTGCCTCTTGGCAAATAAGGTCAGATCGAGGCTGACCACAAGAGAGGAAGGTACTCATGAAAAACCAGCAACCATTCATGGATTCGCTGGCTTGGTGTGCAGTCCCACTTCTCCTTTAAGGATAACAAACGGTGACTGGTAGTTGACTGCTGAATGCCCCTCTTAACGATAACGTAGTTCATTGTCAAAGGTCAGAAGAGACGTAAAAAAACGGATTTCTTAGAAAGCAGCACGTGCTAACTCACCCGTGATTAACACGTTCACAACGTTCGTCGACCTCTTTGTATAACCATCTTAAGTGCTCTAATATGTCACCAAATCTTTTGACAAGCGTTTAACGTCTTACTGTTATACATATACATATATTTTAGCATCTTTCTAAAAAATTTCTTTAATCTAAAAAAACGAATCAAATTTTAAAATCTTACAAATTGAAAAATCCAAATATTTTGAATTCTATCTTTACTTAAGTAATAAAAAGATCAAAATTCGAGAGGATACTTTCGAGAGGTAAATTGAAAGGAAAACAAATCTTTCACACATGTGTGAAAGAGGTAAATCCCTCCTGCAAATCGTCGGATAAGAGAGTGAATCCTCAAGATTCAGTTCAACAATCGAGTTTGAGTAAAGTGGACAGCTTACCGTAATCTTGAGGTCACGAGGGTCGCAAGTATCGTACTGTCGACTGAAACGCAAAACCGTATGCGTTTTATTCTCATAGCCCAGCTGGAGATTATAATCCTGACTCGAATCCATTTGCGGATCTCTAGTAGCGTCCTTGACATGTCGATCCTGTAACAAAATAATATCAAATTAAATCTTAATTTTTATTTAAATTTATTAATTCATTCAATTATTTGAGTAAATCAATTTCAATATACACATTTCAATTATCGAAGAATTTTCGTTTAATTTTTTTCTGATGTAGTTTCAATAAGTTTTTGAACACATAGAAGTTCAATTCGCATGTTAAACATTCTTGAAAAGCCGACATTCGCAAAGCAATTTCGTACATCGAAAGCTTGAAATATTTACGTAAACGACTGTTGCGACAAGATGCAAGTTTCATCGCATGCTTGCGGTAAATATTAGAAATAGTCAGAGAGCTCCCGCTGCGGGTGTACCGCACCGGAATTATTCATTGGCGCTTGGGATCGTGTACTCACTCTCACCCTGCGAGCATAGAGGCGCGTACACAAACACTATATATCACAGCACGACGTCAGGTATTCATTGATAAAATAAGGCGGCTGATTTACACTCCACGGTCACCCATAATCCAACATCTTCATCCATACCTTCTATCTCCCGTCAAATTTCAATCATTTTCCTCCATCTTCATCGTTTTTGAATTTTCATTATTTTATTTCCATTTCTAATTAAATCCTAATTTCCCAGTCAACTAATATCTCCGGTAAATTCATAGAATATAAAGTTGTTCTAAATTTCTCCCAACGTTTAAAATTTCTTAAGATTGCGATGAAGGAAATTTCGCATCCTTTCGAGACACGTTCTTCCATTCGACGCGAGCAGTTGACGAGCGATACCTTTTGCCGACATAATGGCACGTTTTCGATCCCGCAATCAATGTTCTATTGTTGAGTAAACGCAAAGTTGGTGCGCGGGATAAAATGGGCTTGTTAAAAGAAAGAGGAGAAAGAAGAAGGAGAAGAATAAGAAAAAGAAAGGAGCACCTTTTGTCGCGCATGTAACGGTCGCGCCTTTCTCGACACCTGCAGCAATGACTGAAGACATGCCGTCGGTGATGCCTCTAGGCTGTCTACAAGCCTCGATATAGTTAGTTAATCCAAGGTGTCTCGGAACTTTGGTCAAAGACAAGTTTTTGCGGCGAGAATTCCGGCCGCGCTGCCTCGATATAATTACCTCGAAGGGTATGGAAGCGGCGAATGCAACACTCAACGCCTCGCCCAATTCGAAGGCATTGTTTGCTCGTAAATGACTCTTTTTGTTTCCCATTGGTATTTATTAAATTTTAATTTAACAGCATCAAACCTTAACGTGGACTCTCTTGTCAAGTCACGCGCGTTACCATGACGGTTTTGTTCCCTTCTGCACTCGCTTCTGCACATTTCTTATACTCTCCTTCTCCTTTCTTACTTTCGCACCAACAAAAACAATCAAAAATCAATACTCGAAAATCTATAAAATTAATTTTCTAACAAAAACCATAACAGCTGATGGCAAATAGTCTTCTTTGAACCTGTTTAATTATCCCATAACTATTCAATTCACGAAGTAGAACAGGTGGCACGGATGTCAGTTTTTTATCCGTATTACCATATTCCTATCACAGTACACATTGCTAATTATTTCATTTCTTTAATTATTTTTAGTTCCCTTTTTACATTGCTATTCTCCCCTTCATGTTATGATAAAGCAGCCACGGCAATTCAACATTCACGATAAAGACTTTCCCTGCCGTTTGTCACAGACTCGTGGAGATGTGTGATTTGATGTCATCCGTTTTTTACAAAAAAAATGAAAAACAACTTTTTCGCTGAAAATGCACACACAGCAGACATATCTCGAGGTGTGCGACCGGAAGATGCCGTTATGCGACCTGATAAAGTAATAAATAATTTGCAGAAGCGTTCCTCGAGCGACTTGTTCAATTTCCGTTCAGCGTCGGAAGCAGCCAGCGTATTTTTCCCATTCCAGATCGAAAAGTCCGCTTCCACCCATCACCCCCGTTCCCCCTCCTAGTATACATTGTTATCATTTTTTTGCATATATGCGAAATACTTGGTAAAGAATGGTATCCTCAAATGATATATGCCTAAATGAAAAAAGTATCTGAATCATGATTTTGAAACCTAATTTTTGAAACTGATTTTGGGTATTAAGAAAATTAGACCTTAATTCCCTTGTTCTCTCATTTCTACTTTCCTTTTCTTTCTCTACTTATGGATTTACGATCAGGAGGAAATCAACCTCTAATTGGTCAGTTCCATATGAGAATCGTTAGAGAATCAACGCGTTTTTGGAAATTGTGGACGTCTTGAAATTATTTAGTATAAAACAGTTATATTAAATAGATTTTATTTCATTCATTTATTAAGAATTTTATTACATATCAGTAAAATTATTAGTAAAATCTTTAGGAATTAAATTAAAAATTCACTTTCAATATATTTAAATTCCACTAGACTTAAATTCATTACTACAAAAAGTATGCTACTGCATTTAAGAAAATAGTTTTAAGAATATATTCATTCACAGAAATGTAAAAGAAGAAACGTTTTCCTTTTGAATTGTAAAAAAAAATTCTCATGAGTATATTCGCACGTTCTATAAAGCAGGATGTAATTATACTTTGACTGATTATTATATTATGCAATTGCTGATTATACAAGTCGAATGTTTCCTGAATATTTTTGTCGAAAGTATATATATTGAATGTTAATGGATATGCACTTTTTTTTACGTATTTGTTAGAAATTTATGCAAAATAATATTTTATACGTATTTATGCAAATAAATGTTCTGCATTAAAAAAAAGTTGAAGGAAATAATTATATGATTACCTAAGTAATTTTATTAAATTATTGGGGTAGAATATATAATATTTGCCATTAATAGAAATAGATTAATGACAGCATAAGAGAATAATTGAAGTGGCTTTTGTTAGTGAAAGACTGGTATTGGAAAAATTGAAGTTGGTTTCTGTGGCCCATACTCGTTCTATTTAGGGGAGTTTAGTAAAATGGGAAGTCATTCTCTCCCTCTCAATAGCTTTTCCGGTCGATCGACTGACGCGATGGTCGTTTACGAACGATCTAACGGTATAACCATACTCGTTTATATTAATTACGGGAATCCATTGAGGTCCGATAACGTTGCTTCGCCCCAACGGAGGCAAGTTCGATCAAGAGATTCCTGAACGTAACATGCGATACGTTGAACCGGCATCACGCTTCAAGAAACTGGATTCCCGACACTAAGTAGTTAACCCTCTCTTAGCTTTGCTACTGTGCAGCTCTTTATCTTTCTTCTATGTTATTCTCCCCTCTGGAATCGTTCATTATTTTCTCACGTTTGATCCTACAGATAGTTTCTTATACAATTTAATGAAAACGGTAAGAAAGTCGTCTAGTCAATTTCTAATGTAATCCGTCTCATTTCCCTCCTTGAGATGAGGGAAACCTCTCTTAAGTTAAGGAAACGAAAATTTAAATGGTTGAAAAACAATCAGGGAAAAGGTGTTTATTGAGAGATTTACTGTTTCCATTGACAATATAGGTACACATGTCGAGACACAGTCACCATCAGTCGACATTTACCTTGTTTTTTCTTTCACTTCCTTTTTTCTCCTTCTCGTGTCTCGAGTACCAATTCAAACACCAAAAGATACGAGATAACGAGTGGGCCAGTTTTACGAGATCGGTTTATAGTCGCAACAGTCGACAACATTTCTCCACGTCCTTTCTCTTATCGTTCTCAGATTGCTTACTACTGATCTTGTTCTTCATCTGCGAAGCTCCTGGAAGCGATTCCAGCTCATGTTCCTTCGTTACGTACCAAAACCCTCTAGTGTTGACTTTACTAAGGATTCAACTCACGGTTCACTACCGACCCAAGTGTACATTCCGGTGGCTTCGAGTATCTAAGGGTCATTCCCTAATTGCTGCATCCTTACTCAAATGCCAAGATGCTAACGGATAACGCACGTAACACTTATCGCACATATAGGGTGCTTTTCATTTTAAACAAAAACGAATATTAGAATTATAGAAAATCATTTGTCTAAAAATTACTGAAATCTACATTTAATTCAAATTTGAAAGCATTATTTTTATAGAAATTCAATTCATGACTTCTCAGACGGGTATTCTCTCAAGTGTAGTGTCGCGTTTGATTTCTATCCTATTTAAAAAAAAACAAATTGCTAAATGTTCTTAATCTCTTCTCTTTAAATATTATTAATAGTCCAGAATCCGGGTAAACCATTATTATAAGTCATATCCAAGATGGACTTATCTTTAAGACTCTAAAATTATTTGTAAATACTTTAAACCTCTTAAAATAGTTTTTTGTCAAGTTAACGTCTTGAAAATCCCTGTCAATTCTATTTATCAGATTCTCAGAATAATAAAAAAAAGAGAAGGCTTTGTCATTATGAAACGAGGTTCCTTTAAGTGACATCATTTCTGAATATATATCTTATCTTCGAATAAGTTAAAAATAAATACAAGAAGTTTTGATAAATTAAAATTATTCAATTAGTCTAGAGTGGATTTTATTTTTTCCTAACCGGGTATATAATAGATGCGTACCTTGCTTGGAAAGTAAGCACGCACTCAATAACCGACTACATCATGCGATGGAAATCTTGTAGACTTTAAATTGAGGAGCGACTTCTGGGGTGGTCTCGAGAGTACAAACCTTTGTGTATGTGTATGTCAATACGAAGAGTAGAGACAGAATTGAAAGAAGAGAGTACAAATGTACGTATACTACAATACATTGGCAAAAGTTTCAAGCAAAGGCCACTTTCCAAGTGCAATGTCGCTCACTCGCAATTACTTAAGATCGAAGTTTGCACAAAGCTTTTTTCTTGTCCCCTTTGCAATTAGATTGCTAAACCAGAATCATCTTCAACCGGGGTTCATCTTCTGAATCGATATTTTTGTCGATTCAGAAATTTTATTGACAAAAAAAATTCTTTAATTACAAAATTTATTTAACAGTTAAAACTGTTTGATTTGTTTTGATATTTGTTTTCCCCTCTTATATGTTCATTTTAATGAATTACCTGAAAAAAATAAAATTAG